ACAAAACACAGACTGCAACACAGTGCCCTAAGTTTTACCAACTAGGCAGTTTTCCTATCTTGTAGATCAGGGCTTTTCAAACTTGAATGTGCATGGAATCACCCAGGCATCTTGTTTAAAATGCAGTTTTGGATTCAGTATGTTTGGGGTGGAGCTTCAGATTTCTGTCTGTACAACCAGTTCCCAGGGGATGCTGATTCTACTGGTCCAGGGACCCAGTTTCAAGCAGCAAGAGTGTAGACCTCTTTGTAATTAAGATTCCTTTCTTTGCTTGTTTGGCCAGAAAAAAAAGGTTCCTGTCCACACCTTGGAGGTAACAGCCTCCTCATTAAAATCGAACACAGGCATCTCCAGATTCAGACGGAAGAAAAGTCTGTGGGAGATAGGAATTATTCCTGGGATCCTCTCGTTTTGTTACTTACTGCCATCAAAAGTCAGGTTTCAGGGATCAGCTCCATCTTTTTCTCCACCAAACCATGGACATACTGTAAATAAATCCCTTGCACTTATTCTCTTTAGGTATAGACCAGATCAGCTGCAATTTCAAAAGAAAGAAAGAGAGAAAGAGAGAGAGAAAGAGAGAAAGAGAGAAAGAAAGAAAGAAAGAAAGAAAGAAAGAAAGAAAGAAAGAAAGAGAAAGAAAGAAAGAAAAGAAGAAGAAGGGAAGGAACGAAGGAAGGGAAGAAAAGAAAGAAAGAGAGAGAGAGAGAGAATGGGAAATAAGAAAAATATGAGAAGCAAAGGACTTCCTTTGAAGTCCTCTAACATAATCATTCAGCATCTCCTCATTGCTTTTAGGCTCAAGCTCCGAATCCTTAGAAGGGCTTCTGGGGTCTGATGAGGTACCTGCCCACCCGACTCATCTCTCACTCTTCCCCTCCTTGTACTCTGTGTTCAGTCATACTGAATTTTTTTTTTTTTTTTCTCACAGTTGTTGTCTCTTTGATCTGGAAGCTTGTCCCTCCTGTAACACCTGGCAGGCATTGTCTCTTCTGGAAAGACTTGACACCACTGCCCTCGTTTGCTGCCCTCTGAGTTAGGTTGTCTTTCGCTGTCTTCATTTGCACACTGTGCTTACCTCTGGCACAGCACTTCTCAATACATTTCCATTGTATTCCCCTGTCTATGTCCCCCACTGAACTGTGAGCTCCTTGAGGGATGGAAAGATGTCTTTTGCCCCTAGCACAGTGTCTCGAATATATGAGGTGCTCAACACTGAAAGAATGGGCAAAAGGCCGGGCGCGGTGGCTCAAGCCTGTAATCCCAGCACTTTGGGAGGCCGAGACGGGCAGATCACGAGGTCAGGAGTTCGAGACCATCCTGGCTAACACGGTGAAACCCCGTCTCTACTAAAAAATACAAAAAACTAGCCGGGCGAGGTGGCGGGCGCCTGTAGTCCCAGCTACTCGGGAGGCTGAGGCAGGAGAATGGCGTAAAAACCTGGGAGGCAGAGCTTGCAGTGAGCTGAGATCCGGCCCCTGCACTCCAGCCTGGGCGACAGAGCGAGACTCCGTCTCAAAAAAAAAAAATACAAAAAAAAAATACAAAAAATTTTCTGGGCATGGTGGCATGTGCCTCTAGTCCCAGCTACTCGGGAGGCTAAGGCATGAGAATTGCTTGAACCTGGGAGGCAGAGGTTGCAGTGAGCCACAGTCACTGCACTCCAGCCTGGGCAACAGAATGAGGAATAAGAAAGAGGAGGAGGAGGAGGAAGAAGAAGAAGGAAGAGGAGGAGGAGGAAAGGGGGAAGGAGGAGGGGAAGGGGGAGGGGGAGGAAGAGGAGGAAGAAATTGCTTAGTTCCTAAAATACCATGATGTTGCCCTCAGAAAGACTTTCGTAAAGGCCAAACACATTGACACCAATTTCTGTGTTCCAGCAACTGCAACTGAACTCCTCTGTTCTGATAAATTATATTACCCCAGCTTCCTCATTTTATATTGCTGACCATGTATCTTCTCCTGAAGACTAAATATAAAGAAATACACAAGGCGATAGTAGTTATTTTTAATGGAATTTGAGGAAAGGTAGAATCTCTTTTAATATTGTACGGTTTTTATTGCTAATTTGACCCTAAAATAACACTTTAAAATTGCGATGTTTCCAGATTTGAGGTCTCTGGGCATCTAGCAGTTACTAGCAGTCTCCAAATTGGTACATCTATATGTCTATCTATAGATCATGGCACAGATACTGCCTGCTTTATACAAAGTACTGTGCCAGGAGTTCCTACTGTCACAGGCTTTGCTCTTTAATGGGGAAATGTCACAAATGCTACACTAGAATTCTCAGCAGCTCTGACCTACTTGACTGCCTCCTCCTTCTCTTGTCTCCTGTGCCTTCTAAGATGTTGGTCTCTGCCAGTTCTCCTGGCTGTTCTGGACACCTCTTTTTACTTTCCTTTTCTGGCTCCCCTTTGATCAATCCATTTATATTAGTGCTCTGTAGGGTCTGTGCTGGTGTCTCTTATCTTCTCACTTTCCAGCTGTACTTGGTGGGTATATGCCCTTTATGTCCGTAGCCTTGGCACCTATTTATTCCCAGCTCAGTGTCTAGCCTCCAGCTCTCTCATTAACTCTAGACAGAGATTTCCAACTGCCAGTGGGGCTTGTCCACTTGAATGTTGTGCGGGTATCTTACACACAGCATGTCGTTATCCTGTCTTTATCTTTCCTCCTATTCTTCTATACCCTACTGTGGTTAATGACACCTTTGTTTCCTCAGCTGCATGGGCTACTGGCTTCTAAGTCATTCTTTTATTTATTTATTTGAGACAGGGTCTCACTCTGCCACCCAGGCTGGAGTGCAGTGGCTCAATCATTGTGCACCACAGCATCAACCTCCTGGGCTCAGGTGATCCTCCCACCTCAGCCTCCTGTGTATCTGGGACTCCAGGCATGTGCCACCAAGCCTGGCTAATTTTTTGCTTTTTTTTTTTTTTTTTTTGTAGAAATGAGGTTTCAGCCATGTTTCCCAGGTTGGCCTTGATTCCTGGGATCAAAGGACCCACCCACCTCAGCCTCCGAAAGTGTTGGGATTACAGGCGTGAGCTGCCACACCCAGCCCCAAGTCATTCTTAATGCCTTCTTTCCCTACATCATCTTCCTTCCAACCAATAACCAAGCCTTGTTGATTTAATCTCTTAGTTCTTCCTTGAACCCATTCTGTTCCCTCTTTTTCTTTTTCTTTTTTTTTTTTTTTGAGACGGAGTCTTACTCTGTCGCCCAGGCTGGAGTGCAGTGGCCGGATCTCAGCTCACTGCAAGCTCCGCCTCCCGGGTTTACGCCATTCTCCTGCCTCAGCCTCCCGAGTAGCTGGGACTACAGGCGCCCACCACCTCGCCCGGCTAGTTTTTTGTATTTTTTAGTAGAGACGGGGTTTCACTGTGTTAGCCAGGATGGTCTCGATCTCCTGACCTCGTGATCCGCCCGTCTCGGCCTCCCAAAGTGCTGAGATTACAGGCTTGAGCCACCGCGCCCGGCCTGTTCCCTCTTTTTCAATCATCAAGATGTTACCACTTTTCACCTAGATTAGTGAAATAGCCTCCCTGTTGATTTCTTGGCCTCCAGTCCTTCCCCACTACTACTCTGCCTTCAGACTGCTGCCAGAACGTCTTTCAAAGCCCAGATTTGATCTTGCCAATCATTTACCTAAAATTCTTCAACAAACCCTTTTGTCTACACAGTTCAAAGCCCATAGCAAGATCTGTGAAGCTCTATGTGACTTACCTTTTAGCCCACTTACGTTTTCAGCCTCCTCTGCTGACACTCTCCCTACATACCCAAAGATCCCCATATACCAAACCACTCAGCATTTCCTCACACACCATTCTGGCTCCTCTTTCAGGGGCTTTCCAGCTACTTTGGAAATTCAGCCTAGGAAACTCCTGTTATTGTCAAGATCCACTCAAATATCACTTCCTTTGGGAAGACTTCACCTCCAAGCACTCAGGGCGTATTTCTATTATAGCACCTCTCATGTTAGATTATATATTTTTTTTCTTTTAGAGACAAGGTCTTATTGTGTCACTCAGGCTAGAATGCAATGGCACAATCATAGAGTACCACAATTTCCAACTCCTGTCCTCAAGTAATCCTCCCACCTCGACCTCCCAAAGTGTAGAAGCCACTGTGCTCAGGCTATAATTATGTTTTATATGCCTCCTACCCTCCTAGACTGAGCTACAGAAACCATGTCTCACTCTATTTTGTATACTGGCCCTTGGCACAATACTTAGCACATATCAAGCCTTGCATCAATGTTCAATGAGTAACCAAATAATTGAATGAATAAATAACCCACTGTGATACAAGTTAGAATAAGAGCAGTAGGCAAGTTGCACATAAACTGCTGCTGTAGGGCATTCAGAGGACTGGGTCACATTTCTTTCAGCAACCAAACAAGACTTCATATAATTGATTGCCATCTCTCCATTTACCCCTATATCTTTGTTTATGACTTAACACAAAGTCGGTTCATTCCATCCCAGGTATAGCCCACTTCTTCTCCAGCCTCCACCCAAATACTGAAACTAGTTTTCTCTTTTCTGTCTCTTGTATAATAGATCTTTAGTTCATTTTAGCTTTGCATATAACTTTTATAATAATTTACCTATTTATAAAGGGAGGTCCCTTCTTTATTCTAAGAAGGATTTTTTTTTTTTTTTTGAGATGGAGTCTCACTCAGTCGCCCAGGCTGGAGTGCAGTGGCACGATCTCGGCTCACTGCAAGCTCCACCTCCCAGGTTCATGCTATTCTCCTGCTTCAGCCTCCCAAGTAGCTGGGACTATAGGCGCACGCCACCACGCCCGGCTAATTTTTTGCATTTTTAGTAGAGACAGGGTTTCACCCTGTTAGCCAGGATGGTCTCGATCTCCTGACCTCGTGATCCGACTGCCTCGGCCTCCCAAAGTGCTGGGATTACAGGCTTGAGCCACCGCGCCCGGCCTCTAAGAAGGATTTAAGTGCCTGCCTCATAACTGATTGTCTGTTTTTATTATAGCTTCTTGTATAGAAGATACCCCAAAAAATGTTTGCTGAATGAAGAAATAAAGGATTGCTCAGGCACCACTGGCACTTCAACTTGCTTAGCAAGTACTCATGCCTCTTAAGAACTGGCCAAGGGCCGGGTGTGGTGGCTCACGCCTGTAATTCCAGCATTTTGGGATGCCAAGGTGGGCAGATCACAAGGTCAGAAGTTCAAGACCAGCATGGCCAACATGGTGAAACTCCATCTCTACTAAAAATACAAAAACTTAGCCAGGCGTGGTGGCGTGTGTCTGTAATCCCAGCTACTCAGGAGGCTGAGGCACAAGAATCGCTTGAACCCAGGAGGAGGAGGTTGCAGTGAGCCGAGATCATGCCATTGGACTCCAGCCTGGGCAGCAGGGCAAGACTCTGTCTCGAAAAAAAAAAGAACTGGCCAAGGTCTTAACTGGAGCACTCTCTCTACCCTGCATGTTTGACGGCATTTCTGTCCATTTTCAATCTATTTTGGTTATATGTTTTTCACACAGGTCTGTGGAACTTAGAACACCGAAGGCCTGTGCATCTTCATGGCTCACAGCTCATGCTGTGTTGACTTGTCCCGCTGTGGTTAATGTTTAGTCCCTAAACCATCAGCTGAATGTCCTTAAATCTGAAAGAATAATGAACACACGCCAACAGACAGCTTAGGTTTATTTGGTGACTTGCACCACGTACTTTGTGAATATCATCTCAGTCATCCTTTTAGCATCTCTCTCAGGCACATACTATCCTCTGTGGTGGCTCATGCCTGTAATCCCAGCCCTTTGGGAGGCCGAGGCGGGCAGATCACTTGAGGCCAGGAGTTCGAGACCAGCCTGGCCAACATGGTGAAACCCCATCTCTACCAAAAATACAAAAATTAGCCAGGTATGGTGGCATGCACCTGTAACCCAGCTACTCGGGAGGCTGAGGCAGGAGAATCATTTGAACCCAGGAGGCAGAGGTGGCAGTGAGCCGAGATTGCACTATTGCCCTTTAGCCTGGGTGACAGAGTGAGACTCCATCTCAAACGAATAAATATGTAAGTAAGGGAAAAGCGATCACACAGCAGAATACAACCTAAGGGTAACTACTGAAGGGACAGATCAAGGAGCAAAGTCTACCATGTATCAACCTCTACAATGTCCCCAAGGGTCAGCTGTGTATAGGGACCCACACAGAATTTGGAATCCAAATACATCTCTGGATCTCCAGGCCTGTGTTTCACTCTCCAGGTAGTAATGAGATGTCTCCATTTTCTGCAGGCTGAATGATTCCCTCAGAGCAGAAGTATAAGTTTATTTATTGTTTTTCCTTCTATCATAAACAGTTATCGGTTGTGGCCCTTTCTCCCTTCCAAATAGATGCCCAAATTTTTGGAATTGGAAAGAGCCCAAGTCTTCCATATCAGGGGGTGGGCCCCACTGGGTGTGAGCCAATCAGCGTCTTCTGTCCTGTGAGCTCCTGATTTACGCTGGTCTATAACCTGAGATGGCCTCCTCAGGATGGACCCCCAGGGATTGCTGGAACTTGGACTCTTGTCAGCCTGGTAAATGGTATGTCTTAGATCTGCTGCAGCCGTCGTGGAAAGCTTGAAGCTGCCAGGAGAGAGGGGTTCCAACATGTGGTGGCTAAAGAATGAATCCAACTCAGAGGAAGCAGAGCCAAGAAATGGATCCATGCCGTTTGAATCTTGGATCAAATTGTGCCTGGATCTCCAGTGAGACAATAAATTCCTGTATTACTCAAGCCTATTTGAGGTTGTTTTCTTTCACTTGAAACATTAAACTTTTAAATTGATACACCCTAGTTAAATTATAAACTGTGTGACAGTAGAGAGTGTGTCTCCCTCTCTTTTTTCTTTCTTTCTTTCTTTCTTTCTTTTTTTTTTTTTTTTTTTTTGTTGCTTTGAAACAGAGTTTCACTACTGTCGCCCAGGCTGGAGTGCAGTGGTGTGATCTTGGCTCACTGCAACCTCCACCTCCTGGGTTCAAGTGATTCTTGTTCCTCCGCTTCCCGAGTAGCTGGGACCACAGGTATCTGCCACCCCGCCCAGCTGATATTTTGTATTTTTGGTAGAAATGGGGTTTCACTATGTTGGCCAGGCTGGTCTCAAACTCCTGACCTCAAGTGACCAACTAGCTTGGCCTCCCAAAGTGCTGGGATTACAGGCGTGAGCCACCGCGCCCGGCCCAAGACTGTGTTTCTCTTGATCACCTATGTGTTCCCTGGCACATAGTAAGGATTCAATAAATAACTTTTGAATGGATGCATTTTAGCTGCAAGGAACACCCATGAACTCTCTTTACTCAGCTGACAGCTAAGGAATCTGGTGTTCTGTAAGAAAGTGACGATGTGGATCTAGAAGTCAGACCTTACCCCAACACTGGCATTTTCCTAATCACAGGAAATCTTCCAGTAAATACGTTGGGGTCTTTGAGGAGGCCCCAAAATAGCAGTCTGCTCCCTTCTCTGTGAATTTTGAATTGAATCAGAAGATAGCAGCAAGCTAGACAAGGACCAAAAATAACCTTTTCTACTGATAAAGCTGATATTAGAGAACGTGGCTTATATCATCAGACAAACGAGCTTCCCGATACTCAACTTCAGAATTAGGCAGACTTGGCGGCTTGGTGACAGGCAGCTGAGCTGGAACGGGCCTCCTCTTCCCACCCCGCGGGAGCGAAGCTTGCTCCCAAGAAGAAAAGAAGAGAGGATGATATAAGGCACAGTTCCTCCTTCCAAACTCACCAGTCATATTAAACCACTCCTCCTTCTCAGGGAAGAGGGGGCAGGCGGAGAGAAGCCAGGAGTGTTTGGACTCCTTTCAGAAGAAAGAAAACATCAGGAGTGGGAAGACCCAGTCTCCCTCCCTCACACACACCACGTGTGATTTGGTCAGGTCAATTGATTCTACTTTGTTTTCAATCAAAATGGGCGATATTTCCAAGTGGTGGGATATGTTTGCTGTCTAAAATATAGAATAGCTCCATAGAATAACTCACACATCACAGAATCAAGCTCCCCAAGGAGTTGGAGATCTTCATTTGAAATTATGCAAAATTCAAAAGAAGAAACAAGAGCTCACGACGAAATTACACAATCAGGGGCACTAGGTGGCAATAAGCCTTTTGCTCTCTCACCATGCCCATCAAAGGCATTTCAAGAGCACTGAAAGCTCACACACTTCCCACGCCGGCTGTCAGTTTCTTTCTGGATGATCTCAGAGCCACACAGAGCATTCTTAGTCACTGGGAGAACAGAACCAAAGCTTAACTCCTTGGTGGCACCAGGGGAAGTGGCACTTCGAGTTGGATTCCAGGAAATCCAGGGAAACACTTGACACAGGAAGTCTGTGACCACGTTCCCAGTTTCCCCAGTGTCAAGGCTGGGGCCATGAGCATTGTTCAAAACACTCAGGCCTGCATTGTGTCTGTCTACCACATGCTTTTGGTTTTACTCCCCAGGGCACTTTTTCCTGTTTCTGTTTTTTGGTTTTGCTTTTTAAGGTAAACATGTACCATCTAGGCTTCAAGAAACGTCCTTGAATAACCATCGTTTGCCGATTTGAAGGTTGGTACACAAACTACCAGCTGAATTGGACAATCATAACCCCCCAAATGAGGCAAAAGTACATTTAACATTCAACACGGGTTTTCCTAAAAGTGGTATTGGCTGTTTAATGTGACTGAGCCTGGTGAGAACCAGGATGCCCTGAACTCAGCAGGATCCCCTCAACTCAGCAGGATCCCCTCTGTTCTTGCTGCCAAGACAAAGTTTTGCTCTAATCTTAAGTAGCTTGCTGGTGGGCTATTTGCTGGAGGTCACTAAGTAGACTTTGCTGGCCAGCCCTGGGAGAGAACCCAGGCTGACAAAGGAAACCTCGAACACAGCAAGATTGAGACAATATGTTCCCATCCTCTCTTCTCAAATGTAAAGCTATTTTCTCATCTATTACCTGCCCTATTTTTACCATGAGAAGCTCTCCAATGCCACTTTAGCTATCGATAATTGGCAGTGAGTTTTGCAATTAACAGCTGCCCAGAATCAATTCCAAGGATGCGCAACTGAAACCGCTTTTAAAAAGGCAGAGTTGGGGATTGCTCTGCTGCCTACCTGACCTCCAATCCTTTTTCTTACCCATACAAACCATCTGCTGGAAGAATCTGAAACTTGAACCACGTACCTAAATGCCCAGTTCTGGGTATGGGGTAGATATTTGAGAAATATTTCGATTGATTGATGTGTACCCGGGGGAAGGGTACGGGCAGCTCCACAAGGAGTTGCTGTGTAATTCACAGTGAAGAGTGGCTCTCCTGCTGACTCAAAACTCCTTTCTTATTTCAGACCAAAGACTCCAGGGACAGGTTTGGGTAAGAAACCTGGCCTCAGGGAAAAGCATATGAAGCCTGTTCATTCCCCAGAAGAGAAGAAATAGAGAGAATTGCTCACCGTGATGGGCGCATCTCAGCTTTGCAAGTTTATCGTCCTCATGATAAACTTGAGGGGCACCAGCAAGGGGCCTTCTATGAGGCTGAACTTCCCACTCACCCGTGCCTGTTAGAGACATGACCCAAGGCTTTGGGAGCTTTCTCGCAGCTTCTGCTTAAATGGGGGCAAGGAGGGAGCCAGTCCTTTCACCATGACCTCTAAATGACGCCAGTGCTGAAGGCTGTGGGGCCTTCGATCGCTCGAAAACTAGGAGACTTAAATATTTTTAGAGACATGCTGTCATCTGGGCAGCCTTAAGTGGATGTTTTCTCTGTCTTTCTTCAGAACTAGTGGGTTTGCAAGAAACCCTCCCAGGGCAGCAGTCTTAGAGGAAGTGCCTGCTAATGCAAGAAGGAGGGCAAGGGGGACAGCCAGCTGGAGCCTGGAGCTGCTCATGCTCTTGGAACCCTCGGCGGGCGCAGGCGGGGATTTACGGACCTGCCTTTTCCCTCATCATTCCGCAGGAAGCTTCTTTAAATGAGCCTCAGCCCAGCAGCTCTCATGGGGCCTGGTGTTTATAGTGGAGACCAAGATAACAGAACCGTGGAGGTGCCAGCCCTGGATACCGACCCCACAGTCCAGGAATCATCAACTGGGCCCCAGGGCAAATTGTGTTCTGTTTTCTCTGTGCAAGATGCCAGAATGCTCCTGCCTCGAAGAGGTTGACTCTGTTGTCAGCTGTGGG